GAGGGTACAAATATAAATAAGACACAGTTTCTACTTTAATCAGGAAATATTTTTAGATTAACTCAAAAAAACCCAAAAGGAATCCCAGTTATTTTTCCTTTTGGGAGGTTTTTAAATTACTACAGGGATGATATTAGGAACACAGTCAAACACATAGTTATTCACCACCTACTACGTACAAAGCAGTATGTTAGTTGGGGACTTCAAAGCAGATTAAGATTTCATCTTCACTGTTAAGGGGAGAAAGACAGACTCAAGCAGGCTGTGATCAGACTGAGAGCAAAGGCATAGAAAGAGCTGCAGGAACATCATTCAGAAACCACTGATGAACAAAACAGTAAATGTGGGTGGCATGTTATGTACAAAGCTAGAAAAGCATATAAGTAATTAATCAATTGTTGACTTATTATTTAATGATATAATTAGTGTAGGAAAGCTAGAACATACTTTGGAGATGAATACAAGGGGGTTATAATTTTGGCTCTGGCATACAATATTTAACATCTGTGAACTCAGTTTCCAGATCCATAAAATTCTCATGATAATATCACCCTTGGAGAGTGTTGTGAGGATTAAATAAAGTAGGATATGGAAAGAGCCTAGTATCATGCCTGGCTCATAGCATACCTTCAATAAACAGAATTATTAAATCTCTGTTTATTTCTCTTTGGGAAAAACCCATTCCCTGTGAACAGTTAGACCCATACATGACCCTGATCTATAAATTTTCCATCCTCACTGCCACATCCCTAGTCTACGCCACTCTCATTTCTCAACCGGACTAGTATGGCTGCCTCTTCTAAGAGCCCTTCTTCTACTTTGCCTCCCTATCATTTACTGTCCATACAACTGCCTGAGTGATTTGGTAAAAAATATAATTCAGATCATATAATTTCCTTACTTCAAACACTTGATGGACTCCCCATGATTAAAGGATACAAATTAAACTTCTTATTACAGCCTGTGAGCAGAGGCGGAGCTGTACTGAATATGAGAGGGAGAAAACTTGGGGAAAGAACATAGGAAAAATGATTAACCTCAGGATTCATTTGCTGGGACTGCCATAGCAAACTCCCACAGACTAGGTAGCTTCAACAATAGCAAATTTATTTTTTAACAATTCTGGAGGCTAGAAGTCCAAGATCAAGTTGTCAGCAGGGTTGGTTTCTTCTAAGTCCTCTCTCCTTAGCTTGTCGATGTCCATCTTCTCTGTGTGTCTTCTTATGGTCTTTCTTTTGTATATTTCTATGTCCTAATCTATTCTTATAAGGACATCAGTTACATTGGATTAGAGCCCATCCTTGTAACCTCATTTTAACTTAGCTCTCTTTTTAAAGACCCTAACTCCAAATATGGTCACATTCTGAGTTTCTTGGGGCTAGGACTTCAACATATGAATTTGGGAGGAACATAATTCAGCCCATAACAACTTCTTTATGTGTTGCTCCATCTGCCGCTAGGATTTCCACAGGATCTTTTCCACATAGTTTTAACAACTGTGACCATAACATATATTACAGATATGTTGCTTAAAAGATGCCACTTTCAGAATATGGTCTCGGGGTAGGGCTCTGTCCACTGATTCTGGTTTTCATTCTGTCTATGTAGCTTTCATTTCTTATCATTCTCTTCCTCACTTGCTTTGCTCCAGCCCCGCTGGCCTCTTTTCTAGAACACACTATGTCTTTCCGGCTTCTGAGCTTTTCCCTTTAAGTTCTCTCTGCCTGGAATGCAGTTCTCTCAGCTCTTCCAATGGCTTGTGCTCATCTTCAGGTCTCTGTTTAAAAGTCGCTGCTTCAAAGGGTGCTAAAAAATCTAGAGTGGCTTCTCAGTCTCTCACTCAATTACGAGCCTGTTTTGTTCCTCTTATGAATGACAACATTCTTCCATTTAGTTTATTTCTTTATTATTTATACTCTGACTATTGCATGTTACCTGCTTTAGGTAGGGAGCTCATGAGTTTTGTTTATCATTGTAGCACCAGGGCCTACCATGGGTCCTGGTATACAGCAGGTGCTTACTCAATAAATGTTTATTGAATGAGTGTCCAAATGAAATCCCTTTACCAATCATATTTTTTTAGGATCTAACTCAATTTCAAAGATCCATGTGATCATATAAAGCAAATACTGAATAATGTCACAAACAAATACTGAGGTTGTAATTCTGAAGACAAAGCATTTTTCAAGAATCATTGAAAAAGTAGTATGTCAGGTAACAATTTGAAAATATCCGTTGTTATCACGGAATCATTATAACTGCAAGAATTGGCATAAACTCATACTCCTTAATATAAATTTATAAGGAAAAATATCATTAGCCTAATTCCTCCCTCTTCTAAACTTCCCCCACTCCCATAGATCACCTACGGTATTAATATTTTACAGGACACAGTTTGGTAAATACTATTCTAGAAAACAGATGAATACTGTCTGTAAACTAGAGTAAATCAAATAGCGTCACCTAGCAGCTTGTTAGAAACTCAGATAGTCAGGCCTCACCTTAAACCCACTGAAACAGCAAGTCTGAGGGTGGGGTCCAGCAATCTATGCTTTAACAAAGCTTCCTGGTGATTCTGATCCAGTTAAAGTTTGAGAACCACTGCCCTAAATTGATCTTCATTGTTACTTCCGATTTCTCAAGAATCATGTCCAACAGTCCAGTTGTCAGGACGTATTCAACCTTAATTGTTCTAACTAACTTACCTCTCTTTGCACTGATTGGCAGTGAGGTAGTGCTTTTAACACTGTAGCCACTGTCCTTAAGAAACAACCAGAGTGATTTCTCTCACTCTTGAACCACTTTGAGTGAAATCTCCATCTTCTAAGGTTCAACACACATTACCTGCTTCCTGGATTACCTGTCTGTTCTCGGAATAATTAGGCTTTAGTGAGCTTATTACTACCATATTTTTGTTGTTGTTGTTGTTTCCAATTGCTCATTCAAATAAAAACGCAGTTAACTTCTCACACTTACTTTCTCTGTTTTCCAAAGGTGTTATTTTTAAAAAAATAAAAATTCATGGCAGATTAGCCTGATCTATAGTTTTCTCTCACTATGCTTCCAAAGAATATATTTTTCTTAGGATACTCAGTCAAGCAAGGATTTTCTCACTCTCCCCCAAACTATTTTTCTTTCTATGGCTCAGTCTTTATCCTATAGAGGCAGAAATCTTCTGATTCACTTTTATGAGGATAACTTTAGACCTAGGGCATTCGGCTATACCAACTGCTCTTTGTCTTTTTTGGTATAAATCCAATTATCCAATCAGTCTCAAAGGGAACTAGTCCATCTTGATAGCAGATGTTATTCTTTCCAGTATGGAGTATCTAGCTCCTGGCCACATAGTGTTATAAACCATCACTTAAGGAAATGATGTTCAAGAGGGCAACAATTTTTTATTTCTATTAGTAATAAAAAGCTGTATTATGGGGCCAGCCCGGTTGTGTGGTGATTAAGTTTGTGCACCCCGTTTTGGTGGCCTGGGGTTCGCCAGGTCAAATTCCGGGCCCAGACCTATGCACTGCTTATCTAGCCATGCTGTGGCAAGCATCCCACAGATAAAATAGAGGAAGATGGGCATAGATGCTAGCTCAGGGCCTATCTTCCTCAGCAAAAAGAGGAGGATTGGCAGCGGATGTTAGCTCAGGGCTAATCTTCCTCAAAAAAAAAAAGCTGTATTATATGTAACAGTAACTATTATCATTACTGAGCACATTATATTCTAGAAACTAGGGCAAGTGATTTACATATATTGTTTCAGTTAATACTCATTAAAACCTTGACCTGCGAAGATACTTGACTTGACCAAGATCATACAATTAAAAAGTGTTAGAGCCAAATTTGAACTCCAGAATTCCAGATTTTAAGTATTATGCTAAACCCAGATTGTGGCAATTTTCCTTTGTCTAAAATCAGTGTCAGCCCCGTTGTCATGATGCTCACACCTTCTCTTCTGCCAAACGCACCCATATATTTTTTCCTGAACCAGTCTTGTTTAGGCCTAGGAAAGAATCTCTGTAGTTGCCATTATCAGAAGCAAAGAGAAACTAATACTTAGTAAGTACTTCCATGAGAGAGTCATTGTGTTCAAAATTTCATATGAGCAATTTCGTTTGAGCCCCATCAGCAATCTTGCTTGACGTGTATGGCTGCTGCTATTGAGAGGTTAAGTAACTTGCCCAAGATCACACAGCTAGTAGGTGGCAAAATGTGAGTAGATCTGTTTTATAAAGAGCTTGACTTTGATCCCAATCACCAGTGGTGGTCTACCATGACTCTTTTTTTTTGAGGAAGATTGGCCCTGAGCTAATATCTGTTGCCAATCTTCCTCTTGTTGCTTGAGGAAGATTGTTGCTGAGGTAACATCTGTGCCAGTCTTCCTCTACTTTATGTTGGGAGCCATCACAGCGTGGCGTGCAAGTGATGCTAGGTCTGTGCCCAGGATCCGAAACTGCGAACCCTGGGCCGCCAAAGCCAAGTGGCTGAACTTAACCACTAAAACACCTGGCTGGCCCCCTACCATGAATCATTTTTGTGCTTAAGTTATTTACCAGCATCCTCGACTCTCCAAAGATGCATTCCTTGCAGCCATTATGGTTTTTCTCCTTTTCACTCTTTTGGCTAAGTTCCCTCTTTTTAACAGCTCACTTCATTCCTAAAAACCAATCAGATGATGGACTATAAAACATTACAAAGGCTGAAAGCTTTTGTTCCCTGCACTGCCTGTCATAACAGTGCCTGGGGGTGATGTATCTTTGAAGAAACAAGGTTCCCAGTAAGTAATTGGGGTGTCTTTCTGCCTGTAAGTAAGCATCACTTTCTGGTTTTATTGTTCTTTTGTCTACATTTTTTGTGGAGATGCATTATCTCACTGAAAATTTAAGATGCTTGTAAAAACATGATATATCATATCTGTATTTACTCTTTAATTATTGTACCTACCTTGCCTGTAAAATTGGTAATTATTTTTTCACACTTATTTACTTCATACCTACTAGGTCCTGTTACAGAAGTAAAAACTGACATATATGTCACAAGCTTTGGACCTGTTTCTGATGTTGAAATGGTAGGTATTTGGAAAATTTAATGTACCTTTTGAGGTTTTGAAGAAAACATGCAGAAAAGAGGGCAATTAATATTTATTTTGTTGTCAATCACACAAAGCTAGAAAGTCAAAGAACAGCTTAATTAGACTCAGAAATTCATGAAGAGTAAGATATTGAATTTGCATTTCAGCTCTAATATTTGAGTACTTTTTGGTTTCGAGTCATTCTCCATAAGGAAAAGAACTTGCCTATCATTAATCCCCATGGCACAACCTTGCATGCAGTATTTTTTTTCCCCCAGAAAATTATTGAAGAGGAGAAAATTAGACAGTGTAATTAGTTTTGGTATGGAGCTACATTGTTGCCCTAATTGCATTTAGAATTTCATATTGGCCCAACTGCTCACTCTTTCGCCAACCTGCCCCTTCTCTCCCTCCCTCACTCTCATGCTTAAAGAGCGTAGAACACAAAGCATTGGTCAGGATGAATTCATCCATTCAGTTGTGCTCTCTAATATAAATATTTGTAGTTTACAGGTCAAAGAACCTGCTTTACTTTTTTGCTTGACCCTAGGCTCCTAGGCTAATTTCAGTAAATTTTATGAACATAAGATTTCTCATTTACATATTTTGCTTTGTCTTAAAGAGATGCTTACAATTTTATGATTTATTATGCAATGATATTTGTTGCACATTAACTAATTTTGCTACTTGGTGTAAAATAAAGTACAACTGTCATTACCTAGTGCTGGCAGTTTTATTGAATTATATTAATTATTCTTGAATAATTCTATGTATGTTAATTTATTTATCTAAAAAAATGTAGAAGATTAAGGTATCAAGATGGACATAACATGCTTTAATTGTTGAGAATCTTTTTGCTCCATTGACTTAAGAAAATTTCTTTTCCTATTAACTTTGTTTTTATTTGGATAGTCTTTTTTATGAATGGGAAAGAGACTAGAATCTAATGTATTTTTTCTGCATACTTATGTATAGGCATCTGAGATTTGAATATGTCACAAACTAATTTTCCTAGGAATACACAATGGATGTGTTCTTCAGACAGACATGGATTGACAAAAGACTAAAATATGATGGCCCCATTGAAATTTTGAGATTGAACAATATGATGGTAACAAAAGTATGGACCCCTGATACGTTCTTCAGGAATGGAAAGAAATCTGTCTCCCATAATATGACAGCTCCAAATAAGCTTTTTAGAATTATGAGAAATGGCACTATCTTATACACAATGAGGTAGTCATTTTTTTCTTTTTCCTTCTTCCCTTTATCTTATTTTCCTTTCTTTTTTCTTTCCTTCCTCTCTTTTTTCCTTCCTTCTTTCTCATTGTAGAGATCTATAAAATTATTTTTTAAGAAAGAGTTGATTTTATTTAATTGCATTTTTCCGTCATAGACTCACCATAAGTGCGGAGTGTCCCATGAGATTGGTGGATTTCCCCATGGATGGTCATGCATGCCCTTTGAAATTTGGGAGTTGTAAGTTACAGTAAAAATGCTGTTAGAATTTGTGATTACGTTATGCAAGCTGATATTTATATGTGTGTGTGATTTTCCGTAATTCCACATTTAATTCATTGTCCATGACAACAACTATCCAAGGTTTGATTTTTAGGAGACCGTTTATTAGCTAATAGGTTTAAATAAAGAAGTAAAAACAACCCCCTTTACCTCAAAAAACAAAAACTTATTTCTACAGATAGCCTAGGTAGACTGACTTATAATTAGTAGGTTGGTGGTAAATGATGAAATTTAGGGACCTCTGAACTCCATATCTTGGTGGTGTAACATAGAAAGCATAGATGACTTTTTTTGTTTTTGTAACTTAACAGTTTCTTTTATCAGCAGTCTTTTATGGCAAACTTGAAAAAAGGCCAAAGAAGTTCAGGGCTTGACACGGGTTAAAATAACGTAAACAGCACTCTTAGTATAAAAGTGGCTGAAATATGGTACAAGCATAACAGGAGGTGTGGTCTAACATATAGACAGGGCCAAATAGTATAGTGCCTTATAGACCACATGAAAGAGTTTGAATTCTATTCTAAATGCTTTAGGAAGGCTTTGGAAGGTTTTACTAAGTGGCGTGGCTTTCTTTGACATTTCACCTTTCACTTCAGCTTTTCTATGGAGAATGGATTGTAGAGAGGCTAGAGTAGGAGCAGAGAAGAGTTGGAGGCTGTTGTTTTAGTAGAATCAAAGATAGCAATGGCTTAGACTAGGCTGGTACTAGAAGAGAAGGTGTGAGATAGAACGATTGGGGATATTTTGTGGAGTTGAAGGCAAGAGGATGAAATGAATGGGTAAGAAAGAATATGGGATTCCTTTCCCTCAAGCCCCCTTCTCTGAGATGGCAGCAAAATGTGATTGCCTCTTCTAAAGCCGGCCTCAAATATTTGATTCAATCAGAATCTGCCAAAAATAGATGCTGGCTTTTACTATTGCTTCAGATTCTTAGTTGCAGTGATTGTGAAACTGTTGCCTGCCGTTATCATTGCTCATTGCTTAGCTTAGTGAGAATCGGCAGTCATGATTCTTTTTATAACCCCTAGTAATCACAGTATTCAGTGAGCTAACTTGAAGCTAGAGAGAGTCATTTGCTCCTTGACCAATGACTTAATGAGAGAAGATAAAACCAGAAAAATACATAGACGGAAAGGGTGATCTAACTAGGGCCAGAATTGAAATCCGTTTGTGCTATAATAATTTAAATCTCACCCAAGCTAGTTCTAATCTAGGGGAAGTCCTCTCCCAGTCATGCCCCTCTAGTTCTCAGGGGAAGCACTTGGTAGGTGCTCAAAGTTTGTATATAATAAAGAAATCACTTTTTGGAAGCTGATGTTTTTGAGTGGGAAATTAAAAAGAGAGGTATATCATACTTAGTAAATAATCCTTAATTATTCCAGAAAGAGAAGAATACCATTTAACTATGTTTACAATTCATAGGAATGAGAAGAACCAGGAAAGAAAAAGATTGTTCCAACAGGTGGGGTAGCCAAGAGAAGGATATTTAATTGAAAATATCATGGACAGGAATATAGCATTCAGGACTTTAAATGAATGATTAAGCATGAATACACTTCAGGAGATAAGCGTTGACACATAGCTATATACGGCTCAATGACAACACAAGCCTCTTTTTTGTTTTGCAAACTCATTTGTAAAGATAGTCTCTCTAGGTATGAACTCCTTTTGTAGAATTAAAAAATTCCACCAAGGACCTACTGTGCTCTGGCCATTTTAGGAAGGTATGTGGAGGGTAGCACACAATTCTTCTTGGTTCTTTTGAATTTATTTGTGTGTAAGCCAAGCTATCTGTTCTGGGTAGACTGGTAAGCAAGCAGCTGGTCTCCATTTGCACTGCACATCGAATAAAAGAAAATGGGCTTAAATTGTTGCCGGGAGGGATTTGTTGAAGATGGAAAGGAAAATGCCCTGACTGTAAGAGTTTAAAGGTAGTGGAACTGGTTGGGTTATTATATTCCCTGGAGAGCTTCACAAACAGCATAGCCAGTTGTCACTGCAGAATGCTTCCCAAACAGCATGGGTATTGCCCAGAGGCAGAGTCTGGAATAGGTGACCCCTGGAGAGTTCTCTCAACAGTAGGGTTTGTTTTTGTTGTTGTTGTTGTTGTTGTATTATGGGCAGCATCTGGTATGTTTCTAATTGGCAGAGCTGCATTAGGATGGGAGAAGCCAGTATTGGTCAAGCACTGGAAGCGAATTAGAATGGAAAGAAGCAGCAGTTTGACAGTACTTTTTTGCGGTTTATTATTTCTACTTTTCAACTGCTTATCTTATTACTATGGAAACATATCCAAGTGCATTGATGCATACATGGCATTTTAGTCATTTTAGTTGCCTTCGTTTTAGTTTATCCTCCTCCAATCCTTTGGCATAAAATCAAGATATATACCCAATTGCAAGGCTGTTTATTTAATCTCTACCATTTTCTAAATCCCAAACATGTTTGATAAATCATAATGATTATTGTTTTCATTTATTCCATCTTTCCTGAACATGTGTAATGTTCTTAATTGTTGACCATCAATGCTGATGCAAAAGGAGCACTGACTCTAACCACGTTCTGTGCTCTCATTCAGATGCATACCCGAAGAGTGAGATGATTTATACCTGGACGAAAGGTCCTGAGAAATCAGTAGAAGTTCCAAAGGAGTCTTCCAGCTTAGTTCAATATGACTTGATTGGGCAAACCGTATCAAGTGAAACTATCAAATCCATTACGGGTGAGATGTTTAACAATTAAACTCAATATGCTACTTGGCATTAGCAATGGAGTTTTGTCCTCCCTTTTTCATTGAAATATCTAGTGTTCTCAGGGGACAACAAAAACTTTCCAGAAAGAGGCTTGATGTATAACTTATAGTTAAGAATTTCTTTATTTTTGGGTATAATCTTATTTTGGTTTAAAATAAATTCTGAGTTGATGAGACATGAAAAGTGAGTTGGTTTTCTTATTCATAACAAAAGTCAATAATCAAATATATTAAAACTATTTTGAACAGAATTCTGAGGCAAGAAGTCTGACCATTGAACACTGGACTTTCCCTTTTTCTTTTTTTTGGTGTTTTCCCAAAATCATTTTTATTTTGCCCAATTAATGTGGTGCAACTATATTTTCAAAAGTAAGAGCAAAATATAAAGCTTAATTACAAAATATATTCAGAGTATACATTAAAGCTGTCACACAAGAAGATGGATATTATTGACCATTCTTGGTCTGTATTTGCTTTTGGAGTATGAATGAAAGAATCATAGAATTTAGTTTTTATCATATTTATTGGGGAAAATTGGCTGATTATTGCTTGTTCTAAAAGTATTCCTTACTCATATATTTTTTGAAAACATTCGTTTTCCAGCCTGAAAGTGGGATTAATATCACATTTTGGGAGGATTTGAGGCTTCTGAATCTTGGACTTCACAGTCTGAGAATAAAGCTACTGCTTTCAAGTAACTTTCTTAATATCTTCCTTTCAGATGTAACATTAAAAATATTCATTAACAGGTACCAGAAATTTTATGGTTTGTCTGCTTATTAGCTTTTAGGTTTTTGTTTAAATGCCAATAAAACTTGCTTGAAAGCAGGGATGTTCTATGTGGCTCTACGTTATGTGTGTCTCTTTGTATTTTTCTTCACATACGTAACATTTAGAAATACAGCTCTTCCCTAAAACTAAGACAGTAAGGCAGCCTCTCCCTAAGCATATATACACATTTAATGTATATGTGTATTTCAATTCTTTCTAAAATTAAGCTATATATTTTCATATGTCTGTGTCTATGTGTGTGTGTGTGTGTGTGTGTGTATGTATTTCCATTTTTTCCTACTGATTTTCCACAAAAGTTTAAGTCTAAATTCTGCTCTTGAAAAATACTGAGAATGAAGGTTAATTGCTTTAGCAGTGTTAGACCTTTATTGATTGATTGATTTGATTTGATTTTTTTTGGTGAGGAAGACTGGCCTTGAGCTAACATCTGTTGCCACTCTTCCTCTTCTTTGGCTTGAGGAAGATTGTCCCTGAGCTAACATCTGTGCCATTCTTCCTCTATTTTGTGTGTGGGACGCCACAGCATGGCTTGATGGGCGGTGTGTAGGTCCGCTCAGGGGATCTGAACCCGTTAACCCCAGGCCACCAAACAGAGCTAGCAAACTTAACCATGATGCCCCTGGGCTGACCCCAGTATCAGATCTTTAAAATAGAAAGCACTGCAAGAATTTTTAAAAATTATAGTCCAATATATTAAATTGTTTAACCACTACGTAGAACAAAAGTGTTTTTCTGTGCAATGATGTTCAATATCATTTCCCCCTACTTAGGAACTACATATTTCTCGATGTTTGTGTTGTTATCCACAACAGATAATTTCTTTGCCTAGAATACTGTTTGTTAGTCTGAAATATGACTATGAAGCCATTGGATAATTGCTGCAGAACCAATAATACATTTTCCTCATGTTTTATTTGTAGGTGAATATATTGTTATGACGGTTTACTTCCACCTCAGACGGAAGATGGGTTATTTTATGATTCAGACGTACATTCCATGCATTATGACAGTGATTCTTTCTCAAGTTTCATTCTGGATAAATAAGGAATCAGTTCCAGCTAGGACTGTATTTGGTAATTGCAATTCATTTCTTGGGTATTTTTGTCCACATTACCTTTTGATCATGATTCGTGGGAATAGCCTTAGATATCATTTCTAAGAAAATATTAAGCTGTAATATATCAGGCTGTACTGAGTAAAGAATCATACAAACTTTCATTTTTATCTACCCTATACAAAGTAATAAGGCTTGAAAGGATGTGGGCAGTCCATTCTTTGGGGCCCCATCAGACTTCCCCTGTCGAGACCAGACAGGTGAAGATCAAGCATGAATCTGGATCTAATTTCACTTTTGGTAATATTCTTGGGCTCCTAGCTTAATGCTGTGTAATTGAATTAAAATAATAATCAAGGTGTTAAAATGAAATGCACTGGGTGCTTAAAATAAAACAAATAAAAGTCATGGTTGACTGAATAAGAAAGCCTTACAATAATTTTCCTTTTAATGAAGAGGAACACAATGCAAATAGTTTAGCTGCATTGAATTGGAAGGTATTATATGCTTAGTTTATTAGCTCATTGTTATATTCTATCTGCATCTTTTTTCTGAACACATTTTATTCTTTTTGTTTTTATAGGGGCTTCCTATATATCTTATTCTAAACTATAGGAAGTCCAGAAGACATGAGTTTTAAATTTTTATAGATGTTAATAAGTGTTTTACGTATCAGTCATGCTTTTAAATAAAATTAGTTATAATGATGTTTATTTAATTCAATATAGTTCTGTATTCTTTTTCTATTGATTGTGAGCAGAAAAAGCATTCAGTAGTGGGATAAGAATGAAAATGATCAGAATTGCTCTGAAATGGAGATATAGTCCTCACAAGAGATGCTAATCTCCCTTTTCTTTTTCTATGTGATGGGATCAAAGCTGTGGTATAATATCCTTGTCACATGGTAGCTGAAGGGATGCTGGAGCCAAGGAGCTGGGGAGAGTGGGAACTTCTTATCCCACCTCCCTCTCCATTCAGAGAACTGCTGATAAGGGCATCTTAGTGTTGTCAGCGGACCTGAATGTGGGGATATTTTTGCATAGACCTCCCCCTCCCACCCCTTTAATCCTAGGTTCACTCAAGAAGGTATTGGAATCCTACTGGGGAAACTGTTATGGAAGGGTCAATGCTGGGGGCAGGATGTGACCTCAGAAAGGTGGCGAGCAGGTATAACGGTGCTATCCACTTCATAAAGTTGTGAGGGTTCAATTAAAGAATAACTGCCCATTGCAAGTGTTGAATAAATTTTAGCTATTAAAAATAAGTGTGAAAAAGAAGGAGAGAAAACAGCAAATCTAAGCTTTGGACTCCAATAGGTCAGGGTTTAAAACCCAAATCTGCCACTAATTTTCTCCACCCATAAGATTATGATAACACATGTCTCCTTCATAGACTAGTGAGGATTTAGTTATGCACAGTACTCATTACAGAGTATGTGGAGGACTTTGTACATATTAGTTACTCTCTCCCATATACTCTATCATCTCAGGGAGATCTATTTTTTTCTGACTTGATTTCCTTGATTTTTAATTGTTTTTGAAAGAAAACATATATCTTTCTGTTATGGAATACCGGACACTGTGCTAAATTCTTGATACTCATTATCTCATTTAGTGCTGACACTAACCTTGAGTCTACTCATCATGTTCAAGGGCAGCCTGACTGGGCAGGAAGTATCTGCTGAGGCTAAGTGCCAGACCAAAGTCCCTTAAATTTTCCCAGTACAAATAATATTAGTATTTCAGGAACTATCATCGTTTAAAATAGTAGCCACTTGTCCACATATTATCATATTCTTTTCTATGGTCCTGAAGAATCTAGAACAGAAAATACTGACCCATCAATGATGCCTTTCATGAAGAGATGATAGTGTCATAGCACAGACTCTGGAGTGAGCTAGCCTAGGTTGTCACCCCGAAGTCTACCACTTATTAGCTGTGAACCTTCAATGAGTTACTTCTGCCTGTTTCCTCACGTGTTACAACAGGATGAATGGTTGTACCTAGCTCATAGGTTGCTGTGAGCGTTAAGGGAGTTAATTTGAATAAACCACTTGGAAAAATGCCTATCACGTGGTAAATCCTATTTGTGTCATTTATTATTATGACGGTCCATGCTGCCATCTACCTCATTTGAGAATCACTACTTGGTATTATAATGGGAAGTCCTCTGTATTTTATAGTTATTGTGATTGGTTGATAAGCTTTGAACACTTTCTTTGTTGATTGCAAACTGATAGCCACTGTTCTGTCTCTCTTATCCCCAAATAATAGAAATTTCTAGAATATCCAGAGGGATAGCATTGATTACAGCTGTACCCAAACAATATTTCCTATCCAAATAAGACACTGAAAGGAAATTAAGTAGCATATAGTGAGGATACTGGTAATACTAGTACTAATGATGATAAGATTTGCTGTATGCTTTTGGGGTCATCTTATTTAATCTTCATAATAAGTCAGCATGGTATGCATTATTAATTTTTTATGGATGAGGAAATAGACTCAATGAGATTAATAAACTTGTATAAAATCACCTGTTTAAGTGATGGACCCAAGATAATTTCTGTCTAACTTTGAGAACTCTGCCATTTAACAGATGGACCAAGAAAATTTCTAACTTTGAGAACTCTGCCTTTTATCTTCACAGGGGGCATGGGGATGTGGGGGCTTGTGGAGAATTCCAGAGCTGCTGAGTGAGATTGTATGGATGTGTGCTGAAGGTATTCTGTGGGTAGCTTTTCCCATTTGCCTCTGTCTTGTGCTCATGTGCCAAGATGTTGGTTTTGATTGACAAGGGAAATTATGCCCAATAATTAAGTCTTCAAAGACCTAAGATGTGTCAGAATGGTAATTACTAAACTGTTCATTGAGACTCTAGGATGATATTTTCCTAAGGAAGTTAAGTTTTAAGCATTTGAGGAGCATTAGAAATCAATTTCCTATGAGATTTCGGTAAAAAGTTAATTCTGGGCTGGTATTTATCTTCTATAATTCTCATTTCCCTCTTCACTCAAGGAGAGAATTTGCTGGGTCAGGGATGTTTCTAGAGATCATGCAAAAATAAAACCAAAAAAAAAAATCAGTGTAAATATGAGAAGTAGAGTGTGCTAAATTCTTTCCAAGGTGGTATGCCTTTAAGTTTTCTAATTATTCCAGTATAGTAAAACATTAAACCTGAGTAAATGCCAGCTGGCATATCTATATCATTACTAGTTCATCTTTTAGGAGTGGCCAGCCAAAAATTCACTCTTGTGTACAGTCTTAGCCTACTCTTACACATCCTCTCCCAGCTCCTGGGCCAGCCAATATGGTGCATTTTCAGCTTCTAAAAACAGGGACTGGCATCAATACTTGAATGTGTCAGAAAAAATTCTATGGTTATTGAAATGTTTTCAGGGTAGATGCCAGCTAAGCCATTTACCACAGATGCACCGTCTTCCTAGATGCAGCGGAAGCCTGGCCTCTTATCTGAACGGTTGGCTTCTGTTTGCTGTTCTTTTGGTGTTTAAGTAAATGCTCCAGCTAAAAGCAGGTATGATAAGCACATCCTTTTCATGTTAGTGCTTTCTTTAAATTTGGACTCCAGGCAGAGAGAGTTTTTTAATGTCTAAAGGGATGACGACTTCAAACGCTTAGCCAATGGTTCATGCCAGTTACTTTCCTAATTTTGCCAACAGTCATAAAATAAGAACCATAATAACTGAAGGGCTATTCTACAAACTTTAAAATCAAGTTGACTCAAAACAATGAAAGAGAAATGGAAAGTGGCCACATATCTAGCCTTTTTTGCAATGATGTCCATAACGTCGTTTAACGTCTTCATGAACCTGGTGATCTACCCTCTCTAACAATCAGAAATTAATTTTTGGACTTATGGCTCAGCAATTGCATTAATATACTGTTTACTTGGCATCAATAAGGGAATTTATTTGCATGAAAGCAGGAGAAAATGAAGACTACTACTTCTTGTCCTCAGGAGAATTTGTTCTATTATAAAAAAAAAAAGTGCTCAAAGCAACATGGAGAATCCTAAATGGCTTATATTTGAGTTTGAAGTTTCTTTCTGGTTATCACATTATGGTCTTTGTAGAATTTTGTGAATTCTTCTCAGAGTAGTATTCTCTTTTAGACTTCACTGTTCATATTTTATTTCCAGGTGCTTTCAGACTAATTTCTATAATATTATAGGAAATATCTCTAAGAAGCTTGTGGAACATTTTTGAATTCTTAATAGGCCATTAAGGTTAAATTGTTATGAAAAAACAGAAAAATTTTGATTTATCTTTAAACTTTGTAGCTAAAATTTTTCAAAATTAATTTAAGGTTTGTTCATACAGCTCAGAGCCAGCATGGGAACGGTGCCATTTTTCTGAGTTTTACAATAGAGGCCTGAAAATTCTAAAGTCTCTTTCTGAAACAAAGTACAATGAAATCACAATACTTAGTGCATTTTCATAGATAGTTAGATATCTATGTATTTGACTGAATAAATACATTTTAAAATCTATTTTAGACTAATATATATAAATGTCAAAAATATCACGAATTTTTTCTTAGGGAGTACAACCAAGTCCTCAATTTTCTTTCTCTGTGTAGTCTATGGAATGTTTTTAAAAGATCTATAGCTCATGTATTGCACAGTTGGTCTAATTTTTCATGTTCTAGACATTGACAATTCAGTAGGCACTGGAGAGAAAATGGATTAATGAGGAGCTGAAAAAGTGAGTTTATATGTACTGTGCATTTATCGTGTGCCTGACACTATGTGAAATATTATGGTAAATCCTGAAGTAATGTTAGACTCTTCTGCCCTCAAGGAGGTTATGCTCAGTCAAGTTGAGGAAACAAGTCTTGCATACAGGGAACAATACAAGGCAGAATAGAATTCAATGCTGAGTTGAGGAGACAATATCATTTCTCCCTAAATCAAAATATTATGCTTCTTTTATTGTTCCATAGGGCTCACTATCTCTTCAGTTTAACATATATTATTTGACTTTCAGCCAGGGATTGGCATGGATTGGAGTATATAGTTTGGACACCTTCATCATCGTCATCGTCATCATTGTTATCCCCAAACACGTGGGTGGGTCAGTTCAGGAGCTATCCTAGGCAACACATAGAATGAGTTTAAATGGATATAGTAAATCCCCACAGAAATTTCCAAGATTAGCTAGATAACATGGATTAGATCTACAGATAGGAAAAGGTGCAGAAAGGGACACTTGGACAAATATTGGCATCCTTAAATAATGCATATCTCTATAGTTCTGGTGGCAAGTGGAATTTTTCAAGTGAGAATGGGAACTAACCTTTTTCTAGGCTGAGGAGAAGGCTTCCCTGGAGACGATATGCTTCAGAAGCCTGCTGATGAAAGAGAAGTGACTCTATTCTTGTTGCAAATATTTTCCTGCTGACCATAAACTGATGGGTAATAGATGTCCAATATTTTTAAAGCCAAATTGCTCTAGAAATCTATGGAATATACCTTTATCGTTTTATATAAACTAAGCTCTTTCATAACAGGTAATTTATTATTTTAATTGAATAGGTAATATTCAGTTAAAGATTATAAGTATCTATAATCTTTACAGCAAACCCAATAGGTAGATATCAAAACAAGTCCAGTGAGTTTTCCTAACTAAGCCCAAATCACACTGAGCCAATGATTTGAAGAGCCAGGATTTGAATCATATCTTTCTCTCACTCCAAAGCCTATGCTAGTTTCACTGAACCATTAGGATTCAAATCTTCCATCACAGATGGTTTGATTTGAGTTACTGCAAACTTTGTTACCTGCACCCCACCAAATACCTAAGTCTTTTTGTTTGTTTATGTTTTGCATAGAAGTAATGGTAAAGTATTTTGTCTCTTTTGCTTTGAAGGAATAACCACAGTCCTCACCATGACCACACTGAGCATCAGTGCACGACATTCTTTGCCCAAAGTGTCTTACGCTACTGCCATGGACTGGTTCATAGCTGTCTGCTTTGCTTTTGTATTTTCGGCCCTTATTGAGTTTGCTGCTGTCAACTATTTTACCAATATTCAAATGGAAAAAGCCAAAAAGAAGACGTCGAAAGCTCTCCAGGAAATTCCAGCTGTTCCAGTGCTGAGAGAAAAGCATCCTGAAGTACCTTTGCAGGTATTTGACTTAATCTCCTTCAGTTTAAGATTTCAGCTTTTTTCTTGGTCAAATTTGCATCACCAGGGGAAAAACCGAAAACCTAAAAATCCCAATGACAATTTGAAAGTCAATTTAAAAATCCAGGAAATTATAAAATGATAATTATGAATTTAAACTTTAAAACCATGATTAATCACTTAGAAATTAAGTAGCTCAGGGGACTGGCCCCGTGGCCGAGTGGTTAATTAAGTTCGCGTGCTCCGCTGCAGGCGGCCCAGTGTTTCGTTGGTTCGAATCCTGGGTGCGGACATGGCACTGCTCATCAAACCACGCTGAGGCAGCATCCCACATGCCACAACTAGATGGACCCACAACGAAGAATATACAACTATGTACCGGGGGGCTTTGGGGAGAAAAAGGAAAAAAATAAAATCTTTAAAAAAAAAAAAAATTAAGCAGCTCCGGATGAGCTAGATGTACATGGAACTAGTTGTTTGAAAGTTTTTTTCAGAATTAAACATTTTTGACAGAAAGGGGCAAAATCTTATGTGTACTATTAAGGGGAACCTGTGGATATCTTTGAGTGGGTTGGAAAGGCATTTTAGTAGAATTCAGTGAACAAAGTAAAGCAGCGGTTCTTAACATGGTCCCACATTAGAGTCACCCCATGAGGCTGGGTGCAGCCTGTGCTTCGATTTAAGACGAATAAAACCAATAAGTAAGAGGGCTCATAGTTGTAGTTGATGTACATCCAAAATTGAAAATTCTCATCCTAAGGGGCAGATCTAAAAGGATGTGAAAGCCTAATAAGAGCTACAGCAATTTACACTGGGCACATCTGTGATTGGATATTAAAAAAAAAATTTTAAGTGACTTTTTTCTCATGGACTCCCGTTGTTCAAAAATAACAGATCTTCATGTCAACAGGTCCTCTTCCCCCCTCCCCATCTCCCCAGATCTCTACTCTCTCTCCCTCACTCTTACTCTACTCAGCTTCTTTCTTGAATCAGCAGACAGGTGTCTGTGGTCACTTGTACACACCCTGATGGCTGGTGCCACAAATGGTGACCCAAAACTCTTTTTGTCTGCGTGTGCCCAAATCAAAGCATATATACATCATCAACTTTATTCTTCTACGTGTTAACTCTTTCCCTTACTTAGTCATTCATTCAGTTTTTCACTCATTAAAAAATATACATTTAATGCCAACTGTGTGCCAGACCCTATTTATGGTCTTGGAATCCACAGTATACAAAAATCCTCAGCAAATATCCTACCCTGTGGAGTTTACATTTAAACTTTAATTAATTAATTAATTAAATTAAGTGTAGGACGAGGAGAGGGAGACAGATGATTTAAAAAACAAATAAAAATAAACATAGTTTACTGTTCCCTTAAAAAATCAAGCCTTTGATTTATTTATATATTTATTTTACTGTTTCTGTTTTCTAACTTTTGATTCATAATTTATTTTAACACCATCTTTCTACAGGTTAATTTTGTTACTCTTCTTCTAGCTACTTGAGTTTAATACTTACTAATTTATTTTCACTGTTTCTTATTTAATAATAAAATTTGCTTTATTGCGGTGAGATTTCTTTTGCATAAAGCTTAGGCCATAATTCATAACTTTTGATATATGAAATTATCATAATTATTTGTTAAATATTCCGCAATTATGTTCTGTTTCTCTCTATGGCTAAGACTTGTTTGGAAGATAATATTAAAATTTCCAAATGTGATTTTGTTTGTTTATTTAGCTCTGCTGCTTATCTTTAGTTGTGTCATGCTGTGTTCAGGAATGTTACCTGTACAGATTTGAATGTGACTGATACTTTTATTCTGCCCTGAATTATGCTAAAAACTTATATGTGTTTGATAGCAGTTTGGAAGGAGTTGATTTTTAGTTATTAAATTAATTTTACTTAAAGGGTTATTGTTTCACCCTTTTAATGAGTCACTTGTTGTCTTCCTGATGTTTCAAATACCAAGAAAGATATGAAAAATTATCCCATTAATATTATGAGATTCTGTTAATATGTTTTGCATTTTAACTATTTTTGTTTTATACACTTTGATGCTGTGATATTCAACATGTAAAGAGTCATAACTGCTCTGTTTCAATATCAGTCTATGCATTTAATCATAAAATAGCCTTTTATTTTTTGTCCCATCTCCTACCTTTCCCTTGAATTCTATTTGGCCTGATTTTAATATTTTTCATATTCCTTCTTTCTTTTTGTTTTTGGTGAAGAAGATTTGCTCTGAGCTAACACCTGTTGCCAATCTTCCCCCTTATTTTTGGCTTGAGGAGGATTAGCCTGGAGCTAACATCTGTGCCAATCTTCCTCTGTTTTGTAAGTGGGTCACCGCCATGGCATGGCTTGACGAGCAGCATGTAGGTCCACACCCGGGATCTGAACTCAGGCTGCTGAAGCAGAGTGCACCGCACTTCACCACTATGCCATGGAGCTGGCCCCTATATTCTTTCTTAATATTAACTTTTGTAATATATCTTTATTGCTAAATTTTCCTTCTTTGTTCTTTTTTCATGTACTTTGGAAACTATATCACATTTTTATTTCACTAATGGTTAACTTTAACTTTTAAAACAACATGTTTCAACTTATGATTTTCTAATAATGTTGAAATTGTAAAATATATTGACTCTTTCATGTTGCTATTAACTCCCCCAACCCCAGGTTTGCTCAAGTCCAAAGATTCTGGATTTAGAGACATATTTTGTATATATGACTTTTTCTGTTTATAATGAGTTAATGGTATTCTCTTTTTATTTTTGCAAAATGATGAGACTCCTTGTGCTAGTATTACAATATTGTAAATACTTGAAAGTACCCCTTAACCAGAATACAAGTATTCTTCAGAATTTCAAAAGGTGAAAAGAAAACCAATAATCATCTATTTGCTCCTTGAAACATATCTCTTGACTATAGCAATTGCCATTGCTGGTAGATGCTTGGTTGAGCACATCCAATTGGTTAAGTCCACTCTGATTCAGAAACTCCTCTTGGCAGCATGGACCACATGCTGTGTGCTAATGGCAAAACCAAGCTCAAGAAGATGAAATTTGTGAAGGGCATAGAGTTAGGAAGGACTTTATAATAAATCTAGTCAAAATATGGATCATATGCTTTGTGTCCTCTACAATGTGTAACTATATATGTGTGATAATTTGGATCTCCACAGCAGTTTAGTTGACGAATATCTGTGTTCTAAAGACAGTGATGAATGAGTTGGCCCGCCCATCCTCCTGACTCTAGATTGCTGCCAGAGCGCAGCTGGCTTTGGAGTGTCAGTTGTGTCATTGAATGGCTTCAGGGTCAGGTTCAACTTTGAAGGTTGAGAACACATGAAAATTGAGGGAGAAAGAGAGAGACAGAAAGAAAAAGATACATAAGGAGAAAGCAATCAATAAGGGGAAAGAGTGTGTTAGGAGCAAAGTTTTAAAACATGTTACTGGAAAGAAATATTCTAAGAATCTTATAAGGTTTGGAGTTCCAGTAGAGATTCTAACCAGACAGCTGAATTTTGCTTATTCTAATATGTGTTTCAACTTGTATGGCTGTTTATTTATTTGAATGATATTGCTGTGTTTAAACTGTGTTTGGAATTGCCTTCAGAGTCTACATGACATTTGGTAACTCGATAGTCCTTTCGGTAAGCTCACTAGTGGTTTGTTTTGTTGTCACTATATGTGACCTATGGACTGTTAATGGCCTGGCAGAGGTTTATGGTGACATTTCTGTTCTTTGGGAATTGCAAGGCTTATGATTTATGGAATATTTATGAAGCAAGGAGAAAAGGTCGGTTGGAGAATCTAAGAGCAGTTATGGGCAGCTTCAGCATGTCTTTGGGCATCTCAGGAGGCAAAGCAGCTGTTTTGTTTCTACCTCAAAACTACCTTGATTCTGCCTTTGACATTGTCCTTCCAGTATTTGAATTGGGCTCCAATTTTGTGGTTCTATCCTTCCATACCCTTTCTACTTCTTAGAGTACCTACTCTCTCACTGATGCAAGGGATTTGGATTAATAAGATGATTTGGAAAATAACTATAAAATAAAAAGAGACTGTTTCTTTAAAAAATCGTGTTTTTAAAAAAGTCACTTGAAAATAGAGGCTATAGTCCTTGTTTGGTTGGAATGTATGCTCATTGCACCTTGTGAAAAAAATCCAATTATATAATGACTCTTGAACTCTTAAATTGTGTCAGGTACTATGTGATATGCTTTACATATATTACTTAATTTCAAGCTCACAATAACTATTTTTCAGATGAAGAAACTGAGGCTTGCAGTTGTTAAGTGCGTTTCAGGCTAATACAGCTAGAAAATGGTAAACACAATATTTAAATTAATTCAGCTATGTCTGAGTGCAATGTTTGTTCTCTTAAACTCTATTTTATAGTATTTAATTTATTATGTGTCTATAAAGGTAGCCATTAAAATATATATAGATATATAAAATATTATTTTATAATCAGCCCAATGCAGAGGTTTTTTATGAATAGAAAACAATAGCAAAATACTCTGAATGCTCTTTATGTGCCAGTAAGAAGAACTTCTACGGACATTTATATATAATTTAATTCTAACAATGTATAAAATATGTCCTGTTATTATCCATGTTTTATCAGTGAGGAAATTGATAGTTAAAGATCAAGTAATCTGCTGAAGGTCGTCTATCTGGTAAGTGGCAGTGCCGGACCAGTAAACCCTATATTTTTAAGCCTCAGGTCTTAATGACTGATTAGAAATGTTGGATGAGGGAAACAGAGGAGGAGATGAATGATAGCGGCATCATTCACTAGGATAGGGAAGAGCAATGAAGCACGTTTAATAAAGAAGTTAATTAGTTCAAGTTTAGTTAGGTGGAAATTTCCATAGCAGAACATTTTCCCCTATCCCACAATAATGATGACTTTCTTTTTTCAAAGTACAAGTGCATACTTCACTGCATACCTTTTCTCTCCCATCTACCTAATTCTGTTGTCTGTTTC